ATATTTATTTATTTATTTATTTAATGCCATGTCAGCATTTAAAACAATGGCTAAACAGCTAAGTAGCTATTGGTTAACAAAGCAAAACAGCCTATGTGACACCAGCCAAAAAGAGAAGTAATTTTAGAGGCAATGCAAATGTTTACATTTTGAGATTTCAAAGATATCTATCTTCTAAAAGCATCTTACTGAATGATTAATTCATGTATACGTTTCATTTTTAAAGTATTTTTGAGCTCATCATTTTTTTTTTTATTACAAACAGTTTCTGCCCCTTTAAATTCTGTCCCTTTCTTATAATCAAGGGAAAGCTCACATTCAGATCTGCATCCATCCAATCAACAACCGACAGACAGTGTTGCCAGATTGGGCGGGTTCCCGCCCAATTGGGCAGTTTTGAATTTGATTGTGCGGGTAAAAATTGGCTTGGGCGGGTGGACAAAATTTGGGCTGGTTTGGAGTCAGTTTGGCGGTTTTCAAATATATTGCATAGGCTAATTGTTTAACAAACAAGCCCAAGTATGCATACAGCCTGCATCCAATCAGTCATCACAACGTTACTACACACACACACACACACACACACTGCAGAGGCGCTGGTGCTGATGTAAACATCGACAGCCGCACTTATCACAAGGGCTCAGCAGACAGACGTTATGATTCATCATGAGTGACAAGTTTTTAGCGTTATAAGTTATAACGCATCTGATTTTGAATGTAGTGACTGTATATTCAAGTAATCACAATGCCTAAATATAAGTTAAAGAGTGGGAGAGTGACTCAACTCTCAAAACGTGAATTATTGTGGAGTGAGATGACACGAAGGCTCTATCACTGCAACTCCGAAATCAGAGCACATTTGAATTAATCATAACCGAAACTAAATATGTCGGTTTATACGATCCTGTCTTTTATCTTTTAAATGGTCCAGATTGATAAATCATTGAAACGGCTAGACTTGATTAGTTTTGACTGTGCAAAGTTCTGTATTATGTTCTACAATATGAACTTAACAAGAGGCTTCCTCTAGTTCTGTGTAAAATTATAGTGACATGAAGGTAAGCGCATTATTATTGTTGTTATTTTTTTTTAATTGTCGGATTATAATTCAGTATGCATCAATGAATGACACAGTTTTGACTGTCATGGTGTGTGCATGAACGAGTGTGAAATACCTGCTAACTAGGCTACGTTGCTTTTTCCAACTTATATTGGGCACTTTTTGAATTTAAATTGGATTATTCTGACTGCTGACATTGAAAATTATGCATTTCTTGATTGCCGTGTCTGACTGTCTGCTTGCATATTTTATTCATGTTCGGTAGCCTAATTCTCTTTAAGGCTATTTGTCCCGATTCGATCCGTTTACCTGCAAAATTTATCTAACGTTATATTTATATTATTTTGTCATCATTATTTTGTTTTTTAAGGAGTTAAAAATGGCCCTTATCAACCTTGATTACATATTCCATCACATTATTTTGACATTAAAGTTTTGGGCTGTTTTTTGGTGGGTTTTTGTGAGCTTTTGGGCTGGAAATCGTCCATCGAATCTGGCAACACTGCCGACAGACTGAACCAATCCCCCCAACATTTTCTTTTACGATAATCTGCTTGTTGTCTGCTTATTTGTCTGTACTTCCATTACATTGCAACTTTAAGTAGAGACAGGATCCATTTTAATTTAATGTTGACATTATTTAGTCTTTCATTTCATAAATTGCTCTACGCTGTATTTTTTCCTCTGTCAATTACTTACCTCACCAGGATCAGAAACGTCATAGTTATGGTGATCAATAACAGCAGTTTTCTCCTCATCAAATTCAATCCCACATTCACTACCTAGCTCTCTCAGAGGATCACCTGCCAGAGTCAAAGTCATAGTGATATTATTAATGTCAACAGGCCAATACGTGTGCACTTATGCAAAACCAAAACTACACTCACCAATATCAGAGCTGGCAGCAACGAGAACATTGCCTCCACCATCAATGAAGGCTGTAATGGTCTCTACACTGATGTTGCCCCCAAAATCTGTTCCATTGGAAACATGTAAACGTGGATATTCAAACATAAAAATGGCAGCATGACATAAAATCTATGTTCACTATAACAAGACTCACCTTCCACTGATGGAGAGAAAATTATGAGATGATCATAGAGGAACTGGCCATACTTGATCAGAGAGAGACCAGGATCATCAGCAGTCTTGAAGGTAAGGTCAAACCCACGATCTGAGAACAAGAATGTAATTGTGAGTTAGAATATTTACAAAGAATCACGCAATACCTTTCTCTGTCTGTGCAGGTATGTATGTGCAATCAGATTCACGTAGACTCAAAATGCATCTTCTATTCATATGAACATATTACGCATATTTTCAGATGCTAATGTAATAATTTGAAATGTTTTAATAAGAAAATATCCGATAATGTATAGCTCACCTGCTAAACTGCGGAAGAAGATTGAATGAGTGTCTCTGATGTTGGGATTGTCCAGCAGAACGAGAGTCTTTCCGTCTCCTAAAACTGCCTGCAACATTAACGCCACGGATAAAACAAACAGAGCGCTTCTGCTGAACCCACCAGCCGACATGGGGACCATTGTAGCACCTCGCCTTTTGCAGGTTAATGTTGCAGGAGTCGCGGTGTCCCTCATTGACAAGCAACCCATCGCCATTTTCCTCCTTTGGACAACGTCAGCGCTAACGCGGATGTGAACTCTGACCCAGAGCAGCAGCCAATCGCGTGCTGCCTCATGGACTCATGAATATTATAATGAGACAGCCCTCATTAGATAAAACATTAGATTAGATAAAATGTTCCAAACAAATAATTTATTTTATTTAATTTTTAATTTTAATGTAATTTAATTTTAATCGAATTTATGCTGGTGAATTGATTATTTGTATAGATACATTTGCAGAAAATTTTCATACCCTTTTAGTGTATGTTTTAAACTTGTACGACCAGCAGAGGTCAGTGCAACACAACTACCGGTATATGCTTTTCAGAAAGCTAGCCTAGTCTGTATGGTAAATTAAATCCAATGATTTTTTTTTAATAAAACTGAATGTTAATTTTATTATGTATCTGTTGGTTATAAAATCTATTCAAATTAATTGTATACGTATAATAAGTATAATTGTATTTTATTATTATATTGATTATATTTGTTTCCTAAAAAGAATTTAAAAAGAATGTTCATTTACCCATTTTCTTTTCTTTGTTGTTATTTCTAAAGCTCCGTGAGCTATGAAATAAGTCAAACTTGTTTTGAAGTTGATGTCTGGTCATAAATTAGCTAGCGACTTGAAAACACCACATGAAAGTGCATTACTGCCCCTGGAAGCCCATTACTGAACAAAACAAGACTTTCAAACTACAAAGCCTCTGATACCTGCTGTCCATATCAAACTGCATTCAACAGAAAGCTTTGTCATATGGCTCAAGTGCTGTTTTGAAACTGATTGTAATTTTAAGTCTCAGTGCATTAAAAAAAAATCTATTACATTAGGGTAAAGAACCAGTAGCCTTGCTTTCCTGGCACTAACACAGACATTTATTCCAGTGACCAAAAATGACACCAAAAAAAAACAACAGAACCAAAAGATAGTGGTTTATTAACAAACTAATTGCAGACTTTAGGTGATTTTGAGTGTGGCTTAAGTCATTTTGAAAAGTCACTATTGTATGCAATTATGATACAATATCAATTGTCTGTTCAATAAACTCCAAAAGAACAGAATTGGACCAAAATGACCTGGAACACTTGCAGTTCTAGTTACAATAAGAGTTTTCTGACAATGAAAGCTGTGATATTCAAAAACAGAAACTTGCTTGCAACACACTCATCACTCATCTAAAGGAGTAAAAATGTGTTATGCTAAAACAGAGAGCATTTAAAAGCGTTTATTGTGAGTTCTTCAGCTTCTACATGTCATGAAAATCAGCATACAGTTAAAATCGGCGGTTTAATGTTTTTTATGTTTATGCCAAGCAGTATTAAGCCCAAATAGAAAATTATTAAACTCCACAAACAAAAGAATCACTAATAAATCAATAAATAACAGTTCAGTACTGTAGTCGATTTGTGGAAAACTGAAACATGTAGGACAGTCATATGTTTAATTGGCTTCAGTAACAGAGAATACATGATCTAGCATAGGAGACACTAGTATTAAAAAGTATGACAAACAGCATACAAATTAGGTTTGTTTTGTTCATAATTACATTTTTTTCTTGTCATATTTATTTAAATTTCACTCTATACAATGTAATTTTAATATGCTGTACACATATTGTGCTGCGGTTTGACATGTGACATCTATCTAGTAGAGTGTGTTTTTTATTATACTGTAGCATGTTAGAAACAGCACACTTTGTGACAGTCTGAACTCCATCCTTTGGATCAATTTAGGTCAAAAACTCTTCACTATCCTTGGCTTTCAGATTTCACTTTTCCAGACCCTTCCTCTGTCTCTGTCTAAAATACGAGTGTGTTTTATTATAGAATATTAATTAGTAATAACCATCACTCTGGTGAGAAATATTACACTTTGTGACAGTCTAAACTCCATGTGGATCTCTCCATCCTTTGGACCGATTCAGGTCAGAAAGGCTTCACTGTCCTTGGCTTTCAGGCTCGACTTTTCCAGACCCTTCCTCAGTCTCTGCCTGTGTACTGGTCTCCTCCTCTGCCCCCTCAGTTTGAGATTCTGGCTGGGCTAGAGCTCCTTCTTCTTCCTCACCATCCTCCTCCCGTGTCCGGAACAAGAGCTCACCTTCCTGGATGACCTGCTCGGTGGTTTGCCATGTCCCGTCACCTGCATATTGCTGATAAAAGTCAGAATCTGCCTGAAACATGACCAGGGCTTGGGCAGTGTGAATGCGCACATGCTGAGCGAGGGAACTGGCGTCCAGGAACTTCTCACCGCACGAGTCACATGCATACAAGATCTGGGTGTTGGGATCTGAAGGAATAGAGCAGCACAATGTTTCAGCTTCAATGTGATACAGTATGATCGGTCACACTTTATTTTAAGGTCCAGTTCTCGCTATTAACAAACCATTAACTATGACTTTTGCCTCAATAAACTTCTAATTGGCTGCTTATTAATAGTTAGTAAGGTAGTTGTTAAGTTTAAGTATTGGGTAGGATTAGGGATGTAGAATATGGTCATGCAGAATATAAATACTAAGAGCCAATATGTTAATAAAGGCATGCTAATAAGCACTAGTTGCTTATTAGCATGCCTATTATTAACATATTGGCTAATAGTGATAATTGGTCCCTATAATAAAGTGTTACCGTATGATTTTTAAAACAAAAATCAGCTTCAGCTTATTTAAAAAAAAACAAATAAAAAACGTGTTTTAAGGGGTATAACATATATAAAGTAAATATCTTGTTTATATTTCGTATAATTAATTTTATTAATTTATTAATTAATTAATTTATATACACACTACTGGTCAGATGGAGAATGAAGTTTGATGAAGTTTTTTTTTAAAGAAAGAAATGAATACTTTTATTTAGCAAGGATGCTTTAAATGGAGTAAAATTGCAAGTAACAGTAAAGTCACTTATAAGGCTACAAAATATTTCAAAAGGACAGCTTTTATTTATATAATTAATTTATATACACACTACTGGTCAGGTGAGTTTTTTTATTAATACTTTTATACAGCAAGGATGCTTTAAATGAATCAATAGTGACAGTAAAGTCACTTATGTTATAATATTACAAAACATACTTCTATTCATTTAAACCTTTAAACCTAAATCTCTATTCATCAAAGAATCGTGAAAAAATGTTTTACAGCTTCCACAAAAATATTAGGCAGCATAATGGTTTTCAACAATGATCATAATAAGAAATGTTTGTTGAGCACCAGATCACCATATTAGAATGATTTCTGAAGGATCATGTGACACTGAAGACTGGAGCAATGGCACACAGGAATTTAACAATGTAATATTACTGTTTTACTGTATGTTTAATCCAGTAAATGCAGCCTTGGTGAGTATAAGAGACTTCTATTAAACCTTTGATCAGTACACACAATTAAATTTAGTTGTAGTACATGTAACTTGTTATTAAAGCAATGTCCTATTAATATAATTTAAATAATTTATATTATTATTATTTATAATAATATTATATATTTATTTTGTATTATTATTATAGCTTATAATACCAGTCAATTAATAAATTATGATATAGTACATAAACTATATATTACTCACCTGCTTCTTGTACTTTCTCCACTGCTTTGGTGATCTCTGCTTTCAGTGCCTCAGTTTCATCAGCAGATACAGAGGTTGCCACTGGTACCACTACAGGACAACAAATAATATCAGGAGAGCATCCAACCGCCATCACGGTCACTTTTAGATTTAGCATATTTTCTTAGTATTGAGGAATAACCTTTCTACAAGGTGTAATAACTCGTCTGTTTTGTCATATTCTCTCACCTGTGAGCTGTGCTACAGCACTGGCAGCCAGAGCCTCTGTGGCTAAAGTCACGATGTCATCTGTAGTGACTGTGACTATGTTGACCTCATTATTGAGCTCTGAGCCCGGTGTGGAGTCCGGCAGCAGTTTCTCCTCTCCCTCGTCCTCCTCAGCCACCACCAGTCTCTTCATGCCCGCCTTCCCCTGGTGCACCGTCTTCACATGGGAACGCAGATTGTCCACACGGTTGAATCCTCTGCCACACTTATCGCACAGGAAAGGTTTCTCTCCTGTAAACAGGAAGTCATTAGAAGCACATAGCAGAGAAATACATAAGAAAAAGCTCAAAATGTTGCATCTTACCTGTGTGAATGATGATATGTTTTGAGAGATCTCCCACGTTGACAAACGCTTTGTTACAGGTGTGGCACTTGTGTGGTCGGATATTGTCATGATGACGAATGTGATTGGCCAGCTGGCTGGATTGGACAAACCTTCGAGGTGTGATAGTTGAAATACACTTTTATTATATATGGTGCCCTAATGAATCTAAACAAAATCATTCATGCAATTTCTCAGTTACCTTTTTCCACAGCGGTCACACACATACGGTTTCTCCCCAGTGTGTTGGCGAACATGAGCTATGAGTGAACTGGCCTGGGTGAAGCCTTTTCCACAAATCAGACACAGACAGGGCTTTTCTCCTAAAACAATGAGACAGACAAGGTCAAATAAACCTTTAAAGGTAACAGTGGCTGAGGGCGTGAGAAACGGCTCAGACCTGTGTGGATGCGTACGTGTCTCTGCAAGGCCCCGGGGTCAGCAAATGCTCTCTGGCAGTGCATACAGACGAAAGGCTTCTCACCGCTGTGCACACGCAGGTGTCTCTTCAGGTTGCCTGTGAACAGACCATGGAGGCACATTAAAATTCCTTCACGCACACATATATATATATATAAATGCTCTCTGGCAGTGCATACAGACGAAAGGCTTCTCACCACTGTGCACACGCAGGTGTCTCTTTAGGTTGCCTGCGAACAGACCATGAAGGCACATTAAAATTCCTTCACGCACATACATATATTGCCACACTTTGTCTCAATGTGTAAATCTCACCTGAGGTGGTGAACTGTTTCCCACACTCCTTACACTTAAGTGGCCCATCTGCAATATGGATCTTCAGATGTGCTTTCAGGTTTCCCAACTAAAAAAAAGAAAAGAAAAGTTGTTTGTATTTATAATGCCCAATAAAAAAAGGTTTTGTGTTATACGTTTATAG